TGCCTGGCTGTGAGTTCAAGCAGAGCGTGGTGGGAACACCACTATCCAGTAGCCTGCGGAGTTCGACGTTTGGTTTTACGTTCAACCTCAGCCTGAAGAGCGGCCAACTACCCAGCAACGTGCAGGGTTTGATATCTGGCAGTGACTTCAACCAGAGACCGGAGGGGAGCCTGACCCAATTATCCAGCAGCCTGCGGAGTTTGGCGTTTGGCTCTGAGCTCAAGCAGAGCCTGGTGAGAACACAACTGTCCAGTAGCCTGCGGGGTTTGACGCTTGGCTATGCGTTCAACCGGAGCCAGGAGAGCACTCAACTACCCAGCAGCTTCTTGACGGATCAGTGCTGCTTGGTTGAGGGTCAGACGACAGCTCAAAGCGACTGAGGAGCAAGAGGCGTTCACCGGCAAGTTACAAACGTCGGTTAAGAGCTCTGTCTTCAAACAGTACGATGAGGCAGAGGTTGTTTTATTTTATTACCATGAGTGTGACGGCTTTATCAGTGGAATGATCAGGTTGGCATGGCTTGTGAGACGCCGTGCCGGGCATACAGCTTGCAGTTTGCCTCTCTGCCCCAGGAGGAACAAGGATCAAGCTTTGACCGTTTTGTACGCATGCCCATATATCACCTCGAAGAAGGTGTTCGGCATCTCGGGTATGTATATAGTCACGCAGTCGTGTTAGTTGTGTAGGGATGGCCTCACTGCATACCCATGAGGAATACCCTGCGCATTTGTACGCCCGCTTCGCAGTGCACTTGAGCTGCGTTGCTTGCGCTCCGTTTGGTTTTGTGGTAGGGCGAGGCAGGCATCATACAGTTTTTGCGGCGCTGGGTTGCGGGTGCCTGCATGCCCTGCCTGCTCCTGCTGCCTAGATTACTGCTCCACTCCTGCAAAGCATTTGTGAGTGCATACTAGGCAGTGGTCGAGCCCCAACTTGAATTCATTCCTTGCTAGAGGTACGTTCGCTTCGGACTTTGCACCTCCGGAAAAAATATTATTTTGGGGGCTCCTTAGTATAATTCTACTATAAAGGAGCCCCAAAACCATATTCTAACTATAAGGCCCCTACATTGCCACTGCCCGGGGGTTGGGCCACCTGAGCCTGGACAGTGTGATCTGGCACCTCCACATATGCCGCTGCTGAAAGAGCAAATTCTTCTTGAGATCAACGGCGCGGTGGAAGCCATTCACCTTCATCATAACAGGCTTTGGAGGCGATGCCCTGCTACCCCCAAATCCCAAACCCTATATCTGAGATTCCATGTGTCATATGTGCACATCCCTAAGGGTCCATGTGCCCAAATAGTATATACTTTGACCCCAAAGTACCCATATAGGGACGACATTAAGGCCAGAGTATGTACTATTTGGGTAGAAGTCCTCAACCAAGTCCCAACAATCGTCTCTTGTGGGAACCCTGACCCGTAAAACCTAAACCCTAAACCCGATAACATCCTGGGAAGGCCCTCCCAAAAACACTTACAAAGCCATACGAAGCAGGGTTTAGGGTTTAGGGAGGAACCCGCACAGGACTAAAAAGCTTCTCATGGACCCTTATAGGCTGTTGTCTGCATGAATGGGAAAGCACATGAGTAGTTGTGTAAATTAGTAATTAGGGTCCATTTTAGGGTCCTGTTTATAATTTATAAGGGTGTAGGGTTTTGGGACCCATATGAAAGCGCCCAACAGGCTGCCCTCCCGCGGCTGATGACACTGACCATCTCGGATGTCCAGGCCTTTGGGTGTTTAGGCTCCCCGAATAAACAAAGGGGCTCCGGTCCTTCAGGGCTTCCAGCG